ACGTACACACCATGACAGACAGACACACACACCATGACACAGACGCACACACCATGAAAGACAGAGATACACACACCATGACACAGACACACACACAATGACACAGACAGACACACACACATACACTCACAGTGACATAATTTCTACCTGTGTGCTGGCATGGGGAGTTCTGATGGCGGCCGCAGGGTTTGCTGGCTGTTCTGGCCGCAGGGGGAGCTGGCTCTTCTGGCAGCCGCAGAGGGAGCTCCTTTGGCGGCCGCAGGGGGAGCTGGCTGTTCGGTCTCTGCTCCCCCTCCCCAGCGCACTACAAAGAGACCGGGGCCGGAATATGACGTCATATTCCGGCCCCGGTCTCATTAGGTGGCGCGGAGGGGGAGCTGAGACAGAACAGCCAGCAAACCCTACGGCTGCAGGTGAGCGGGCTGCCTGCCCGGCCCCAGGTGCCGACGGCCCACAGGGAAATTTCCCGGTATCCCGGTGAGCCAGTCCAGCCCTGTGTGTGAGTGAAAAATAACACCACAAAAAAATGACTACCCAAATGTTTGACAGAGACTGGTGGTAGAATTAGTGCATGGAAAGTGTGAAAATGCCACCATGTGAAATGACCTAGGGTGTCTACTTTTCAAAAACATACAGTTTGACGGGGGTGAATTACATTGGCCATCTGGGACATGGGTGCATGATGGCCAGCTGCGGTTTTTTTTTTTCCATCATATTTTACTTTTTTTCTAGTAAATTATAAATATGGTGAAAATAATGGGATCTTTAAAATGACCATTTAATGGCGAGAAAAACGGTATATAATATGTGTGGGTACAGTAAATGTGTAAGAGGCAAATTACATCTAAACACAACCATTGCAGAAATGTAAAAAGAGCCCTGGTCCTTAATGGTAAGAAAATTGAAAAATGGCCTGGTCACTAAGGGGTTAAAATAAACTAGAAAAACAAAATGCTCACTATGGACATAAAGTAAAAATAAAAAGCTGTGAATTTCTACTACCAGCAATTCTGGGTTTCATCCTAGACAGGAAAACACATCCTAAAATGGTTATATGTATTGTTTAAAATATAGACTTAGGACAAAGAAACAAGAAACATTTGATTGCTTCAAGGGAGGAACTACACCTTTTATCCAAAGCACAGCTGCAAGCTACAAGCTGCTGCTTGAATGCTCAGAGACTGACTGTGTAACAGGCCCTTTAGAGAGGAAAGAGATCGACTCTAAGACAGCCTAGTGCCCGGGTTCCAGAACCCTTGCTCTTCACCTGACCTGAATCTGACAAATCAGAAATGTGAAATAGCGGATCAATTAATGTAGGTGTATCTCAATTGTATTAGTAGATAGCAATTTAACCATTATAAAACCAGGCCAGACATAGAAAAAAAAACCAGTCCATTCACAAAAGCCCTGGAAACCGATTTAAGATGCGCCTTCATAAGTAGAATAAAACTAGATGCCAAATTTAGATGATTTTCCGGAAGGTAACTTCTCAGTCTAACAACTCATGTCTTGATACTGCTTCAGGGATGTTATTGGAGTTATAATCTTAAGGGTAAGAGATATTTTACCTCATTAACCCTTTCCTGCACAGATAGCAGGGGATCCCATACTAATCAGACAAAACGGAGGATAACCACAGGATAACCTTTATAAGGCTATGAGGGGAGGAGACTAGGGGTGGGGACTGCATTTTGTTGTTTTAACCTTTTCAATGCTACCTGTCCTGTGAGAAATGGGCAACTACATCCTGCTTGGAAGTTTAGAAAAAAAAAAAAAAAAAATTTAAAAAAATTATATATATATATTTTGGATAGTCCGAAATTCTTTATAGAGTATTTTAGTTCAGACGAATTTGCTTTACAGAAACAATTGGGGAAAACGATTCATATGAACTAAAAGGGCATTGGTGTGCTGCAATGCATAAATTGCAACAATGTTGTCTGTTGTAATGGACATTTGATATCAGGGATTATCTTAATCTCAATTCTGCATTGCGAGCAGTCAAAATAAAATGATTTTATCTGATTCTGTGTTATTAATAAACGATGTAGGTGAGATCTTCGGACTTCAAATAGAAATATAATCATTATAAATCTATGGTAAAAAAATGGGGAAAAAAAGGGGGGTGCAGCAGGAGGAGGTATTTTAAGTTTCATTTTAAATTTTTATTTTTTTTAAACCTCAACCTTACTCTGTCGACTACTGGTACTATACTTACCAACCCCCCTTCTCTGTCTAAGGGCGGTAGTAGTACATGATGGACCACTTGTGGTAACTGGGGAGAACGGTACATAATCAATGGACCTGCTACCTGCCCTAATACTTTCTTATTCTGCTTCTTCCCTTAGTAATACAGACTTGTGGTGTCTTCTTATATTGGTACATACCGGCTTTAATGAAATGACCAAGTTAATGTTAATCTACTACCTTCCTTGCAACACAATTTGGACTCTGCAAATAGCCCTTTTGGGGGCACTTGCGTAATGTTTATTACATTTCGAGTTAATCGCAATATTGCACTATTTTTGGCTTTTTTGTTTATATTAGATGGACCTACTCAAGAAGAACCTTTGTAGCTTATATACTCCTGTTAGGGGAGAAAGGCAAGTTCAGTACAATCCATTGTTGGCGCATTTTATATCAACATTGGACTGGAAGCCACAACTGTATTACTCTTAATGCTTTTTATGTTTGTAGCCACTCTTTGTAAACTTATTCATACCTGGATATTGAATTGTTAGCCCTCCCACCAGAGACTGATTTATTAACTAAATTGGGTTCCCCGTCCCTCCCCCTCCCATGCTGATCACATAATTTCATTTCGCAAATATGTACCATGCAGATTTACAGAATACATTTCAACAATCTCTGGAGTTTGACTCTACTGTCTGGAAACGCCACCTACTGGAATATTAAAACATCCATATCTTCTTTGTGTAACCCTTTGAGTGCCAGAGACTATAATGGGAGGCAACACAAACTCATTCACAGGTAAATCTGTTATGCAGCAACTTCATCTTTACCACAGGTGTTCCCCAAGTACACCAGCGGATTGTAACATTAAAAGTAACTGGAATTATAGCTCTTTTCTATGGAATGACAGGTGAATGACACAATGGAATGCCCAGACAGTATAGTGTATATCAACGCTTTTGTAAGGAAATCTGAAAGACCTAGCAAGTTAAACATAGCATCCCTCCTTAGATAACTTAGACTACAGCACTTAGCCTACTACTACAGCCCCTAACCCTCAATAGCAGCCCCTAGAGCCTACTACAGTTCCTACACCCTACTACATCCCCTAACTACTATAGACCTTTAGTCCCCACTACAGCCCCTATACTCTACTTTAACCCCTAAACCTCTACTACAACCCCTTACTGTAAAATTGCAGCCTCCATACCCTACTACAGCCCCAAACCCCCTACTAAAGCCCCTTAAATCCAACAGCGGCCCCTAACCCAACAACAGCACAAAAGCCCTCTACTACAGCCCCTTATTCCCACTGCAGCCTCTATCCCCAAAAGTAGCTGATATCCCCCACTACAGCCCTAAGCACCCTACTACAGTCCCATACCCCAACCCCACTTCAGCACCTATTCCACACTACAGTACCTACCCCCAAATGTAGCCCAGATCCCCCACTACAGCCCCTAACTTCCCTACTACAGCCTATATCCCTCCAACTACTGATTAGCTATTTTGGGACACAGATGGCACTGAGTAGCTGTATGAGGACAGAGATAGCACTGGGAACCAGCACTGTAGTAAGTGGGTAACATGCTACCTGGTTAAGCTGGGGAGCCCAAAGAGTTGGAATAGTTTCCACAGAAAATAGGTGTGGTTAAACATGTTATGCTTGTGAAGGGGAATAGTTAGTTACATAGACATGCCTACCTGGGTGGCGAGAAAAGTATTATTGCACCCAGCCACCAATGACACTAGGATCTGCCCTGTCCCTTTAGAAGGGCATGCATGATAAGAGCATTGTGCTGCATATGACAAACAATACTGTTTAGTGTTCGACAAATGTATCTGCAAAAACACATCACACAAATTAAGCATACCAACCCACAACTCTTATTCTTTGCAGTGAGAGTACCTGCATTACCTACGCACCTTGGACGTAAAAACCCAAGGGCTTAGTATACTATAGGATATTTAATACCCTACAAACCTCAGCATCTGAGGAAAGGGATTTAGGAGTAATTATTTCAGATGTAGAAAAGAGCTATAATCCCAGTTACTCTTAATTTTACAATCTGCTGCTGTACTTGGGGAACACATGTGGCAAAGATGAAGTTGCCACATAACAAATATTTACCTGCGAAAAATCCCACTTAAACACAATTTCAAAAATTGCCACTAAACTCGCAGAGTATGCCTGCAAAATACTTACTTGATATGTTTCACGGTTCAGATTCCAAGTCACATATTGCTTCCCATTATACTCTATGGGCATTCCATTGTATCATTCACCTGTCATTCCATAGAAAAGGGCTTTAATCCCAGTTACTTTTAATGTTATAATCTGCTGCTGTACTTGGGGAACATCTGTAGCAAAGGTTAATTTGCTATGTAACAAATTTACCTGCAAATGAGTTTATATTTTACTTCCCATTATAGTCTATGGGCATTCTCTTTAGTCATTCACCCTTGTCATTCTATAGAAAATACTAATAATGCCACCTAATCTCAATTTCAAAAATTGACACTGAATCTGGAGAGTATTGTGGCAAAAGATGTATTTCATATGTGTCATAGTTTTGTCTCTAATTGAAATATTTTGTTTCCATTATTCTCTATGGGCATTCCTTTCACTTCCATTATTCTCTATGGGCATTCCAATCTGTCATTCCTTTTGGTATCTCCTGTGAAGGGTTAACTTTGATTCGCTGTAGTTTGAGTCGGAGGAGTGAGTCGGAGGAGTGGCTTAGAGTTTGCAATTCATTGAAAGAGAGACCGGTAACACATGCTGCAATAGCACAGACAGAGGAGTGTCTGTTCACCTGGAATTAAGTTAATTTCGCGGGACGACGTGGAACAAGAGAAGAAAGAAAAAAGTCTGTTTTCCAGCCACCATGCTGCAACTATCAACAACCTGCATCTTACTGTCACTATTTATGCTGACTGCAGGTAAGTGACCACAATATACAGCCATCCTTATATAGAGTAACCTGTCTATACAGCCATCCTTATATAGAGTAACCTGTCTATACAGCCAGCCTTATATAGAGTAACCTGTATATACACCATCCTTATATAGAGTAACCTGTCTATACAGCCAGCCTTATATAGAGTAACCTGTATATACAGCCAGCCTTATATAGAGTAACTTGTATATACAGCCATCCTTATATAGAGTAACCTGTATATACACCATCCTTATATAGAGTAACCTGTATATACAGCCATCCTTATATAGAGTAACCTGCCTATACAGCCATCCTTATATATAGTAACCTGTATATACAGCCATCCTTATAGAGAGTAACCTGTATGTGACGGGAGTAATCTGTATCACCGTCAAGCATTCCCTTTTTCCCATAAAAGAAAATCACCCAGTAATCAACAGGGTAAAATATCGCTGGTATCACCAAATAATCCAAACATGAGCCAAAGCTTAATGCTGGAACAAGACTGATTTACTGGAAGCAACAGGCATTCAATTTATACAGTACATAACGTCTCCTTTGGGTTTTAGCTCTTATCAAACTCAATTATCTAGTGGCCAGAAAAGTTAAAATTTTTTACAATTATTGAAAATATACTTTCTACATAACGTATCAACATTAACATATCCCTGGGTAGCTGAGGGTGATGTGAGCAACATACCCAACAATCAGACAAATCCATCCAGTAGATCAAAAGTTAGACGGAAGTCCTTTATGACAATTTCACCCAGAAAAATGTCTAAGTCCCATTCGAACAGTGTGTTCGAATTGTCGAACGCACTTCGATTCCAGCCGAAGTTCCTGAGAAGGTAAGAGTCAGCGGTGTTCGTGCAAATGCATAGCTGATTTTAGTTCCATAAATTCAGTGGCACGCACCGCTGACCGCGTTCAACTAAATTAAAATGGCCGCCGCCATGTGTTCGATATTATAATGGCGGCCACTTCGACGACTTCGACTGCATTCAAAGTGCCAATTTAAAAGTGTAAATTCTTTTTCTGGGAGTTAAAACGAACCATCCAAAATTTGTTCAACAGCAGGGAGAGGATATAACCGAAGAAACACAGGTGAGTATAGGAGAATCCTTTACACTGTATATACACCATCCTTATATAGAGTAACCTGTCTATACAGCCATCCTTATATAGAGTAACCTGTATATACAGCCATCCTTATATAGAGTAACCTGTATATACAGCCAGCCTTATATAGAGTAACCTGTATATACACCATCCTTATATAGAGTAACCTGTCTATATAGCCATCCTTATATAGAGTAACCTGTATATACAGCCAGCCTTATATAGAGTAACCTGTATATACACCATCCTTATATAGAGAAACCTGTATATACAGCATCTTTATATAGAGTAACCTGTCTATACAGCCATCCTTATATAGAGTAACCTGTATGTACAGCCAGCCTTATATAGAGTAACCTGTTTATAGTCACCCTTATAGAGTAACCTGTATATACAGCATCATTATACAGAATAACCTTGTGATGAAATGCCTTTTGTCACTGGATTGTTAGGTGACAAGCTGCCCTTTGCCTCCGGCTGTTGGAGGAGCCTGATTGCCAACCTCCTTCCTCATGACTATGGCCCTGGGGCGTAGTGCCATTTAAAAAGAGTATTTGGGTCTTGGCTTCTAAAGACTGTTTCTGCCCATTTGCATCCATGGGAAGGTGTGTCTCTTCCCCTCCCCCGTTTCCTGTCTATTGTTCTCCAGCAGGGTGTTGTCTTGGGTCCAGAGTGGGTGGAGACGGCGAGAGCCCAACCAAGCTGCGGTTCGTGGGGTCTGCAGTGCTTATGGTGTCGGGCAGAGTGCTTGGAGTCCTTGGAAAGCACTAGGAGCATCCGTCAGCGGAAGGGGTGCCAGCGGTTCCGTTACAGTGGTGGCAGCAGTGGGATGGCGCCCTAGTGCGAGGAGAAGCAGCGCAGAGGCACCGGTAACGTTTGGAATTACAATTTGAGGGCAACCCTAGTATTCGTACAGCGCCCCTGTTCACAGCAAACATGACCTATCGCTTTGAGGGCGACGCTTACAGGGAGGAGGTCAAGAGGCGGTTAACCAGATATGGCCTGAATCTTTCGACAGAGACGATTCTGGCAACCCTGCGCAAGTTGTATGCGGAGAATCGAGCGGCATGGGAATGCGAGTGCCAATTGCGGAGATTGGGGCTGTGGCCAATTGGTCTCTCTCCCCAGCGGCAGCCAGCATCACAGGGAGAGGAGATTGTCGGTCCCTCAGTCCTGCAGCAACCATCATCACTGAGAGTCGAGACAGTCGGTCTGACTCCCCAGCGGCAGTGTGTTGTCAAGGGAGAAGAGACAACCGGTCTCTCTCTCCAGCGGCAGCCAGCATCCAAGGGAGAAGAGACTGTTGGTCCCTCGTCCCTGCAGCAACCAACATCCCAGGTAGAGGAGATTTTCGGTCCCTCGTCACTGCAGCAACCATCATCACTGGGAGTGGAAATGGTTGCTCCCACCACCCAGCACCAGGCAGCGTTACCGGGAGTCGAGACAGTCGGTCTGACTCCCCAGCGGCAGTGTGTTGTACCGGGAGAAGAGACAACCGGTCTCTCTCCCCAGCGTCAGTGTACCCTACCAAGAGGAGACCCCACTCCCCCAGACGGTGCAGATGGGACTGTAGTCTCTGCATCCAACCTACAGGTATGTTGGACGGCCTATCCAGATCCCCAACTACCCTCACAAGAATACCGGGTGGAGGAGGTAAGCGATGTCTCCCCTCCCCAACCAAGTTGCATCCAGGCTACCCCACCAGAAGCGCTGGCATCGGGGCAGAGTGCAGTTGGCCTCTGCCCCCCAAATCCCCACAGCGTGTTGCCCAGTAGCACCAGAGGAACCACCAGGTGCAGTAAATGTGTGTTGTGGGTGGGCTACTCATGTACTTGTTCACTGTGGGTGGGTTTATCGACTAACTCAGGCACTGACCGACAGGTCAGGTACCTGGTTAGTCTCCCCCCCCAAAGGGGAGATGTGTGATGAAATGCCTTTTGTCACTGGATTGTTAGGTGACAAGCTGCCCTTTGCCCCCGGCTGTTGGAGGAGCCTGATTGCTAGCCTCCTTCCTCATGACTATGGCCCTGGGGCGTAGTGCCATTTAAAAAGACTATTCGGGTCTTATTGGCTTCTAAAGACTGTTTCTGCCCATTTGAATCCATGGGAAGGTGTGTTTCTTCCCCTCCCCCGTTTCCTGTCTATTTGTTCTCCAGCAGGGCGTTGTCCCAGGCACACTGCCAAACCAGTTGGAACTGACTGCTTTTGTCCCTCCTTGGTTTCTCAACAGCCTTTGCTATGCTTTACCCCATGGAAAATTTACTCTGTTCATGGGATCTGAGCTTTTTTCACCTAGATTGGGCGCTCAGATCCGAGCTATCTGGGGATAGGTTAAATGTGGGGGTTCTGTGTAATATAATAAGAATTATGTATTTTTATGTACTTTTACGTATTTTTGCTGTTAGTGTAAAATGTAGATATTTTCTGTACCTGGAGATAATTAAGTTTACTGCAGTGCCTTAAGCCAATTATCTCCAGGATGGAGAGGAGGGATTTCATTGTGTATGTGAGAGTGTTATCATGTTAATTAGTGTTCCCATTGGTTTGTGTTCCTTTTGTCCTAATTTACCACCAGGTCCGGGGGTGTGTGTGTGTGTGTATTGTGTATAAGGAGTAATAAACGCTCATTGGAGTCAGATCATCTTTTACCTTCATGAAGTTTCGGTCGGCTCATGCTTGGGGGATTGGAGAAACTACACTCTGGGGATTGCTATAATCACTATACTCCCCAGGGTATAATCACTAAGCTCTGCTAAAAGCTTGTTCCTGTTCCTGCTCTCTGGAATTCGGAGAGGTGGACCTACTGGAAGCTGGACCCTGGTCTTGGGTCCAGAGTGGGTGGAGACGGTGAGAGCCCAACCAAGCTGCAGTGGTTCGTGGGGTCTGCAGTGGTTATGGTGTCAGGCAGAGTGCTTGGAGTCCTCGGAAAGCACTCTGAGCATCCATCAGCGGAAGGTACCCGGTTGGGGTGCCAGGGGTTCTGTTACAAACCTGTATATAGTGACCCTTATATAGAGTAACCTGTATATACAGCATCATTATACAGAATAACCTGTATATACAACCATCCCTTATATAGAGTAACCTGTATATACAGCCATCCCTTATATAGAGTAACCTGTATATATTGCCAGCCTTATATAGAGTAACCTGTATATACAGCATCATTATACAGAGAAACCTGTATAAACAACCATCCCTTATATAGAGTAACCTGTATATACAGCCAATAGAAAAGAAATTATTAAATACAATTTAATAAAGTATCCAGGAGTAGCATATGCCTTAGGGATAATAATTGTGCAATGCTTGTGAATAGAAATTGAAATAAAATGTTAAAATAAAGTAAATTAAACAATAATGTCCAATATTAGGTTAGAGTCCAATTAATAACAGTCTGTTTGATAAAAAGCTATATCATAATAGCAATAAATAGACTCTAAAAGACTATTATTCCATTCTGTTTGTAAGCTAATTCAGTTCACTCCAGTTATTGATGAACTGGGATCTGGATACTGAATTAGTTATTTGGTATAGTACAGTCTAACAATATATATGGTCCTTATAATTGAAATATTGTGTCTTTTACCCGAGAATTAAACATAACTAACAAGCTATATAAAGTGGCCCTTAGTTATAATACTTCTAATAATAGGAAATAAAGTAATAAAATCATAAAATCCAAGTGCTAATATGAAAGGTTTTCCAAGTGTTGGTATATAAAAATATATTTATTGTAAGATAAATTTAAAAAGCAAAAGTTACACTCACATTGTTAAAAAATATGTTGAATATGGAGCCAGAGGATGGTGTAGGCAGCTGATAAATATAAACTGTCCGATCATCAGATGGATAGGTAAATAATTTTCAAGCCGCGTGCGTTCCACCGAATTCTCCCTCTGCGTTCCAGATGTAAATCAGCAGTATTGCCGGAAAGCAATGTGGTGTCGTTCTGAATACCGTCCTTACGCGTTTCGTGAGGCTTAGCTCACTTCATCAGAGGATGTCTGATAGAGGATTCTTGTGGGTTTAAATAGCCAGCAGAACTTCTGGCTTGTGTTAACCCCTTATGGTTTATGTTAAATATAGCACTGGATTCATTAAATAGTACAAAGCATATACAATAATAGACTTATACAATGTTATAAAATTTAAACAAGGATAAAATTAATAGATTGTAATACATATTGGACCTATATATACTACTTATTACAAAATTAAAGATTGATAAATAACATAATAATAATAATAATAATAATAATAATAATAATATTTCAAAGTTAAAAATTTTTTAAAAATTCACCTATAAAAGTATATTGTCTAAATAAAAATAATTACTTGGTATGAATTTTTATATTAAATAAAACTTGTAATAAATGATTAAGAAATCTCCTTCGAAATAAAAACTTTGTATTTCTAGTATTTTAATTGTAAAAAAAATAAATAAAAAAAAATAAAGGAGAGGATACAAAAATGTGTTTATTTATAAAAAAGCTCTTAATTCAAAATCTACATTTAAACCATTGGGTTCTAGCGTGTCTAACTGAAATATCCATTTGGCTTCTGCTTTGTCTAGTTCTTTTTCTAGATCCCCTCCTCCCATGAGATATTTACTTTTTGAATTGCCATAAAACTAAGTCCGTTAGGATTCCTTGCATGTATAAGATCAAAGTGTCTCGAAAGATTATGTGAATGGAGTCCATTTTTGATGTTCCTGATATGTTCTCCCATTCGTGTTTTAAAAGCCCTTTTAGTACGTCCTATATACATTTTATCGCAGGGACATTTTAATAAATAAATTACACCAGTAGTTTTGCAAAAATTTGAAAAATTTCATTTGTTTGTGGGTGAGTAAATTCTGTAATACTTGTAGATTGATTTGGGTTATTTATACATGCTTGACATTTTTTACATTTCCAAAAGCCTGTTTTAGTTTTAAGAGTAGTGGTTTTATTTTGCTTCGGTTTTTCCTGTTTTGTTGTGGGTGCTAGTAATAAAGCCAGATTGGGAGCTTTGGAATGTATTATTCGGGGTTTGTTACTTAATATTCGTCCTAATTGGGGATCTCCTTTGAGAATATTCCAATTTTTTTGTAGAATATTTCTAATTTGAGTATGACTATTATACCTTGTTATAAAAGTAGGAGCTTCCAGATTAGATGAGTCTTTATGTGGCTTAGTTGCCAAAATTTGGTTTCTAGATAAAAGGGAAGTCTTAGTTAAAGCTTGATTTAAAATTTTACTAGAATAGCCTTTCGTTTGAAATTGTGCTGTCATCATTTTAGTTTGTTCGACACAGATATCTGGTTCAGAACAATTTCTTTTTATCCTTCTAAACTGGCTAAATGGAATATTGTTTAGCCATGTTCTTTTATGAAAGCTATTATGAGGAATAAAACTATTACATGCTACTGATTTTTTTTAAAAGTTTTGGTTTCCAGTTTGTTGTTCTGAATATAAATTTCAAGATCTAAGAACTCAAGTTTTTCTGTAGATTGGTTAAAAGTAAATTTTAAATTATAAGGGTTAAAATTTAGATATTCCTTAAAATTTTCCAACATTTCAATATCTCCCTTCCAGATAAAGATACAATCATCTATATAGCGATGCCATGAGACCAGATTTGCGCCAAATGGGTTATTTGACCAAATGTGTTCATCTTCCCATTTACCCATGAACAAATTAGCATAACTAGGCGCAAATCTGGTCCCCATGGCAGTGCCCTCAATTTGAAGGTAATAATGATTGTTAGCCCAGAAAAAATTATGACTAAGAATAAAAGCTATACATTTTGCAATATACTCAAGTTGATAATTTTTTAGTTCTGAAAAAGTGGCAAGTGCATATTGAATAGCCTCACATCCCTGTACATGTTCAATAACTGTGTACAGGGATGTGACGTCTGCTGTTACTAGAATATATTGTGAATTCCATTCTATACTTGATAAGAAGTTGATAATATGAGTAGTATCCCTTAGATAAGACCGTAATTTAGGCACTATCTTTTGTAAAAATTGGTCAACATACTCCGATAAATTAGAGGTCAAAGAACCTATGCCAGAAATTATTGGACGGCCTGGTGGATTTATAAGTGTTTTATGGATTTTAGGTACATGATAGAATATGGCCATTCTGGGAAATTTGGAATAGAGATAATCATATTCTTTTTTTTGTTAGAATATTTCTTTCTTTACCTTCTTCTAATAACATTAGTAGTTCTAATTGGAATTCATTAGTTGGATCCTTGATTAAAATTTGATATGTATTAGTATCTTGAAGTAATCTTTGATTTTCTTTTTTATAATCTGTAGTGTTCAATATCACTAAACCCCCACCTTTGTCTGCTCCCCTTATGGTTATCTTTTCTTCTTTGTTCGAAGGACCTTCGAACATTAAATCTTAAAGATAATACTAAAGATAACTTAACCAAAAAAGAGAGAAAAGCCCTAAAACAATTAATGGAGGAAGAAAATATAACCATAAGGGGAGCAGACAAAGGTGGGGGTTTAAATCAATACAAGAGATAGATAGAGATACATACACACTCTTCCTTGTTCTCTGTCAGTCTTCCCAGCAGTTTGAGGTAAATACAAAACTAAACTATAACAAAAGTGCTAAAAATAAATAAACAGCAGCTCTATACATTTGTGTGGAAATACCCTCTTATCCACATCAAAAATCTGTAAGGTAGTATAAGTAGAGACCTACACCTTTAAGTGGAGTGCTAGAATATGTTGTGCACAAGTGAGCTAAACTTACCCCACGTAACTTGGTGACAAACTTGGATTGGAATACATATAAAAGCTAGAAAGTACAATATAGTGCAGATGGTACATAGGATAAGATAAAATAGGTGTTGGTGAATTTAGAACACTCACATTTAAAGGAGCCGGTGTAACAATACTAGCCCCGTTGTCGAGTTTTTGTGGTAGCATCACACTTCCAATTCGCTGTAAGGTATATCTCAAAGAAAGAAAAAACCAGGAGAGAAGGGAACCAATGTGCAGTCTGTTAAAATCAGGTTAAGAGGTGAAATAAGTATACTGCTCACCTTATTCGTGCCTTGCAATCCAAGTTCTGAGGTAGTTTAGTTAAAAAGATCATTTTTACCTTTTGATGAGTAAAGCAGGATAGTGAGAATGTATGTATTTTCCGGTAGTAACCTTGTCTCAAACGCGTTTCACCTTCACTAGGAATTGTCAATCATACACAGTAACAGAATGCAAGCGGCTTTAGAAATCTTACTGCCAGTCACATGTTGCTCAGTTTGTTTTTCATTGGTTGAAAGTTATTCGCTAGTGTTATGCAGTTCACCTGTTTTAATCCCTTAACCCCTTCAGGACGGAGTCAATAGTACACGTTCTGATCAAAACAAAACCTGACATTTGCGCTACATGTCTGTCCAACCGTAATTCACCTCTTTCATAGTAAATGCACCCACCCTTATTATATATCATTTTATTCAGGGGAAACAGGGCTTTCATTTAATATCAAATATTTAGCTATGAAACATAATTTAATATGAAAAAAATGGGAGAAAATAAGAAATGTTGTTATTTTTTTAGTTCTACATGACATTTTAACGGTCAGTGTCATAATACTGTTTGCTTTTACTGCAATAAAATACACATATTTGTATTCAGAAAAGTCTCACGTATAAATCATTACCCCCTATGTACAGGTTTTATGGCGTTTTGGGAAGTTACAGGGTCAAATATGGCACGTTACATTTGAAATTGAAATTCGCCAGGTTGGTTACGTTGCCTTTGAGAGCGTATAGTAGCCCAGGAATGAAATTTACACCCATAATGGCATACCATTTGCAATAGTAGACAACCCAAGGTATTGCAAATGGGGTACTTCCAGTATTTTATAGTTAAAAAATCAGGTTAAGAGGTGAAACGGCTTTAAAGCCCATTAAAATGGCATAGAACGCCGTAACGGCATTAAGGGGTTAAGGACTTAGACAATTGTACAAGTTGTGATCAAAACAAAACGTAAACACAACCTGGAATTTGACTGTCTATTCAACCATAATTCACCTCTTTCTTATTATGTGCACCTACAGTTATTATATATCATTTTATTCAGGGGAGACAAGGCTTTAACTTATCATCAAATATTTATATATGAAACATAATCTAGTATGAATAAAATATAAATAAATGTGACGGCATTGCCAGCATGGGGAGTGCCTGTAATGACAGGTACTCCCCCTTGTTGTGCCTAATCATTAAATTCATGAAGCACCAATATCCAAAAAAGTAATAATCAATACCTAATGAGGTTTATAGCGATATTGGCGGGCACACAACCCAGTACGGATAGAGTACATTGAGTTATAGGAAAGAGAAATCATACAGAGACCAAGCTGAATATAAGAATTCACACTACATTTTATTATCCACAAAGGGATCTAAGCAAAGTAAGTTTTACTCTCATTTTAAGTAATTGCATGCATTTACTTCAAACAGCTTAGTATCTAGATATATCAGCTTAAGTATTCATCACCATTAGAGAAGCTTGGTTGTCTCCTTGCCACACATGACTGGGGGGAGCTCAGGCAGTCACTCGGAGAGACCCTCTCTTCTGGGAACAGCAGAAACCAGTAACACGCGTCCGCATTACAGGTGGGTAGTTCTCCAAGGGAGCACAAGATTCCCTTAGTCTTATATACCTGTCTTCAAGGACAGTCAGTAATTCCTTATCAGTGCAGCCCAGCAAAAGACCTTGATACAAGCAGCTGGATGGACCTGGCAGTTGGCCAGACTGTTCAGGACCACCAGAACTTATGCCAAGTCTTGTGCGGTTAATTATCTCTTATCTACAAGCTGTCTTTGTACTGTTCTAGAGATGGCAACATAAGTTTTTGATGGCAACAGAAGTTTCTCAAACTGCTGAAATGCTGTGTCAGCTTAGTAAACAGGTGTAGTGCTGTGTCAGCTTATAGTGCTGTGTCAGCTTAGTAAACAGGTGTAGTGCTGTGTCAGCTCTTAATAGCTGTGGCATAAAGCCTTCAAGCCTGCATCTAGTAATATGTGCTTATATGCTTACCGGTGCCATCTTAACTATCTATAAATAATCAATCATACGTAATTAATATGGAATATTATCACACCCCTGCTGCCTGGAAAAAGAAAAAGAAAAGTTTAAAACAGTGTAAAATTAAATAATATATACTTAGTTCGCTGAACACAAATATTAGTGTTTCAAAACAGTAAAATGTATTACAACGATGATATCGTCAGTAAAAGTGACTTTTTTTGCACTTTTCACACACAAATGGCAATTACACAGACGATATAATTGTTGTGATACGTTTTACTGTTTTGAAACACTAATATTTGTGTTCAGCGAAGTCTCTCGAGTATAACAGTACCCCCCCTGTACAGGTTTTATGGGGTTTTCAAAGGTTACAGTGTCAAATATAAGGCTTGCGTTTCAGGTTTTTCACATTAACATGCGCCAGGTTGGTTATGTTGCCTTTGAGACCGTACAGTAGCCCAGGAATGATCATATATGATCACTGGCCAAAATTGGCGTTCAAATACTTTTTTTTGCATTTTTCACAAACAAACAAATATTAACACTAACTTTGGCCAGTGTTTGTGACCAAGTGGCTACTAAAAGACTGGACATACCCCATTTGAAATACCTTGGGTTGTCTACTATTGCAAATGGTATGCCATCATAGGGGTAATTCTTATTCCTGGGCTACCATTTATTACCTTTCTATTTTTGGCGCTGGAAGCACCCAGGTATTGCTGATTATATTTGTAGATTTATGGTGAGTGCCGGAGGCAGGACTTTGTGTGTGTCAGTATGTGTGTGTCAGTATGTGTGTGTCAGTATGTGTGTGTCAGTGTGTGTGTGTGTGTGTGCGTGTGTATGTGCATGTGCGTGTGTATGTGCATATATGTGTGTATATATATGTGTGTATATATGTGTGTATATATATGTGTGTGTGTGTGTGTGTGTATATATATATATATGTGTGTGTGTATATATATGTATGTGTGTGTATATATGTATGTATGTATGTATGTGTGTATATATATATATATATATATATATATATATTTATATTGTAAGGTGCTCATGATAGTACAGAGTAAGATACCATAATGAACGTAGGATGGTATAAAAGAGCAAGTCAGTTGTGGTGTGCCGGAACCAACGATGAGGTAGACCTGAGAAAGAAGAGGGCCTACCAAGGAAAAAGAAATGAAAAGGAAAATAATTTTTATTTACAATGTGGTGTGGTGGGAAGGTCATTCAATGCTGACCTCGAACGATAGGGAGCCGGGTAAGGGATGTCGCTTAAGTAGGCTAGGAGTGAATAACAAGCACCTCCCACAATTACAGGCCAAATAGCCTTAATACTTGTGTTAGGTGCTCATGATAGTACAGAGTAAAATACCATAATAAATGTAGGATGCTATAAAAGAGCAAGTCGGTTGTGGTGTGCTGGAACTGAAGAGAAGAGAGACCGGCACCCTACAGGAAACTCATGCGCGTCGTCTGTGCGTTCCAAGGGTGGAAACCGGAAGTTCGGCGAGCCGGAAATTAAGGGATGAAAAAAGCGGCAACAGATGGCTTTTAAAAGCGAAGAGAGATCTAGGAAAGCCTACAGCATCTGAGGAAGCCCCCTGAAGGGGCGAAACGTGTTTTGCTATTAAGACTATTCTACAGAGATTGTAAGGTCTTTTATTACTGTTTTATTTCTTTTGATTTGAATAAATACTATTTTATTATACTCCATCTGCGAACATGTGATTAGCCCTTACAAGGATCCCGGAACACAGAGGAGGGAGTGGGACCCTATACATCCCACAAGGCGAATTGCTTGAGCCCAATCCATAGTGGCTCCACCTTTGTGAGTTTGCACTTGTTATAACCTTATTGGATTTGTGAGATTAACAGTACAGACAATATTGCACTATTATCTACTGTTTTATTCCCCTTAGGGCACATTATAGGAATGTACCTATGTAAAGAACTATTTGGAAAGTGCATGTAAGATACTCCGCCTTATTTTCTTTGTATTAATGGATATTAATTTAATCATTTGATATTTCCAATTGGTTTTTCTCCATTAGCTTTCTATATTCACAATTTCTAATCGAAGATAACCTTGAAATACCAAACAACATCACATTAAAACAATATTTACGACAAGACAACATACATTTATGTATGTTAAAAAACATCATACAGAAAAAAAGTTGCAAAAATTGCAGGGATTATAAATTGGAGTAAAAAATCTCCAACATCAAAGTATCAGATATGATACCCACAGGGAGGGGGATATTCTGATATATATTCTACTTATTCAAAAAGTTATTTACATGTCTGTCTTTTCTTTCCTTTTTTCGTTTGTTTTCTGTTCCTTCCCTTTCGCTTTTCCTTTTGTATCCGTACTCCCTTTTTCTATGTATTTAACTTTAGTTCTTTCCTCGTTTTCCCATCTCATATCTTCTTTCCCTTTATCTTCACATCGTCATTAATCCCTTTCTTCGACTTATCTCTCTATCTTTCTCTCTGTATTCTATCTTTATCAACCTAGGATTTTAACTTGTGTTTATAATCTTACTCAGTAAGTTTACATATATGTGATATATTAATAAGAAACATACATTTCTATAGTGTTGTCAAATTTGTGTAATTTTCAACATCTAGCATATTAATTTAAATTCTTAATCTCTATAGTGCTTAAGTGCAAAAAATAAAAGTATGATATTGTGTTTCTTTGACAAAAACAGTCCTCTTAGACTTAATTCGTTTATCTATCTATCGCTTCCCACTGATCAATCGTCTATCATTAAGTGTTCTTGCAAGAACACTTATTGTTATCTCACATATATATTATTCTTATTATAGCCAAATTTGCCACCCTAACTCCTCCCACAGTTTTTACACTACATAGACCAAAATTTACCAAAACGTGCAGATTGTTCCCGATCGGATTGCTATTACTTTGTGGAACGTTTCGCCGAATGGTTCACGGAATATCGTCGTTCTTGTGGCGAAATTTGTCCCATAGGAATGAATGGCAAAGCTAGAGTGGGAGCTGGCAAAAGCTGAAAAATCAGGACATGATTTCTAAACTGCCACCACTCCCTTATTTTCAGGCCCACCTACACAAATCTTATATCAAAACGTTCAGCTATCCCTGCTGCCACTAAACATGTCAACGGCTAAGCCGTAGTCCTGATAGTTTTCACAATATAATCATTTGTTTGCAACTAACGCCGTCCATTGACTTTCATTGAAACTTCACTCTGCAAAGCTCAAATTTGAATTGCAATTTCTAAACTGCGACTGTGACTTCAATTTTAATACTTCAGAGACATACTATGCATCAAAATGTAGGTCTGGGTCTTGTGATTCTCACAATATAAAGCTCTTCGCTGTAGGATTTATAGTTTTAAAAATATGACCGTTTGAAGATGGCAACCACCAAAATACTCTGACCTGTGTCAAGCTGCAGCAGCAAGTGATGTCATAGACAAGGCCTTTTGAAAACCTGCTAATGTTTTTATAAATGTATGGTTTAATGTAACTGTGCAACAACGTTGCAATTAAATGTGCTATGTAAATGATAACAGTTACTCCGCCCACTCCAGTTGTAGACTACAGGTGGAGGCAAGAACACTTCACACAATTTCCCCAGAAATTGTAACTTTTCTAGTTCTTATTCTTATTATAGCAAAATTTGCCACCCTAACTCCTCCCACAGTTTTACACTACATAGACAAAAATTTACCAAAACGTGCAGATTGTTCCCGATCGGATTGCTATTACTTTGTGGAACGTTTCGCCGAATGGTTCACGGAATATCGTCGTTTTTGTGGCGCAATTTGACCCATAGGAATGAATGGCAAAGCTAGAGTGGGAGCTGGCAAAAGCTGAAAAATCAGGACATGATTTCTAAACTGCCACCACTCCCTTATTTTCAGGCCCACCTACACAAATCTTATATCAAAACGTTCAGCTATCCCTGCTGCCACTAAACATGTCAACGGCTAAGCCATAGTCCTGATAGTTTTCACAATATAATCATTTGTTTGCAACCAACGCCGTCCATTGACTTTCATTGAAACTTCACTCTGCAAAGCTCAAATTTGAAGTGCAATTTCTAAACTGCGACTGTGCCTTCAATTCTAATACTTCAGAGACATACTATGCATCAAAATGTAGGTCTGGGTCTTGTGATTCTCACAATATAAAGCTCTTCGCTGTAAGATTTATAGTTTCTAAAATATGACCGTTTGAAGATGGCAACCACCAAAATACTCTGACCTGTCAAGGCTGCAGCAGCAAGTGATGTCATAGACAGGGCCTTTTGAACACCTGCTAATGTTTTTATAAATGTATGGTTTAATGTAACTGTGCAACAACGTTGCAATTAAATGTGCTATATAAATGATAAGTTACTCCGCCCACTCCAGTTGTAGACTACTGGTGGAGGCAAGAACACTTCACACAATTTCCCCAGAAATTGTAGCTTTTCTAGTTCAATAAGTTTCAATTAACTTTTGTTTTTTCAAGCAACCAGAGAGGTGAAAGCAAAAACGGGGGAGAAAATAGAGCAAGGCATAAGGAAGCAAAAGAGCTAAACATCAAAAACAAAGACTTTCTCATTGAGCTGTGCTAGTTTTTATTTTATTTTTTATCCAGAGAAAATGTTTCGTGTTTACAGCCTCCTTTCCTTATAGCAGAGGGGCACCGGCAAAAGACAGCAGACTCCCGTCAGTCCTAGCAGTCTATTTTCAATCAGAAAAGGAATTACGGCGGAAGCTGGCCCGCAATTCAATTCAGAATATCTCTCAGTGAGAGCTCGAGGGATTCGCTGATCAAAAACCTTCTGCCAGCAAAAAGTACCGACCGCTGCAACAAGCTCCGTCTGGGTTGGGGAGGTTAGGAAAACTCGCTCGGGTATCCGCTTCAGCATTCGGGATTATTCTCGGTATAAGTCTGAGACATATTTCCTTGGGAGTTTCTTACATGTGGGGCCCTATAAGAAGCTCCCTCCTCTCATGGCTGTCACGAATGCTAGTGTGGTCCAACACGCAGAAACTATGTAAACCTATACATAGAAATAAGAAAGGAAATAAAAGGACAGAACGTAAACCGGACCTTAGAATGGCCGGACTAATACGTTAGAGACAGAGAATGGTCAAAGGGAAAGCCGAGGTCAAGGAAGCCAGAAATACACAATACTGTTTAAACAAGCCAAGTCAGGGGAACCAGAAATCGGAATAACCAGGAAAAGCCAAGATCAGAATACCAGAATATCAATATCACAGGGAAAAACGCACTCTCAGGAAACCAGGAACAGGAAACCATGACAGGGCAAGGTACAGGGTGAATTAGGGATTTAAATATTCCTCTCTAGGCTCTGATTGGTGAGAGGGTGACCGCTGACCCCAGAACATGCGCATGCGTTGACGTTGTGACATCACTCCCACGTTAATATCTTTGAGGGGCAGAGCCATTGATGGACGCGACCGCATGGTCGATGCCATCTCGGATTTTTCGGAGCGTTGAGGAGGAGCAGTTCCTGGCTCATCGCTGAGCAGGTAAGCTCAGCAAGTTGGTGCGGTCATGTCGGTCTGGCACAGACGCACATGGCCGGGAGCCGAGACAAAGACACGCACCTCTCCGCATCCTACATCATGCGTACCCCCCACCTACAGTACCCTAGCTGTACCTAAAACATTTTGTTTTTATGGAGGCTGTGTCAGTCAGTCAGGGGAGGTGTGGCTAGGGCTGCATAAACAGAAACAAAGCGATTGAACTCCTAAATGGCAGAGAATTGAGCAGAAAACTACTTTATTAAGCTAAAGTTGTTCTGATGACACTAGTGTACTCTTTATAAAAAAAATTAAAAAGCCTATTTGGAGAATTACCATATATACACACGAGTATTTTTTGTGCTGAAAAATCCCCCCCTCTGCTTATACTCGAGTCTTGTCTGTATTATGGCAACTTACATTGCCATAATACAGACCAGGACTGCTGGGCTCATTACAAGCCCAGCGGTCCTGTTGGGGGCCGGCAGCAAGCTGTTACTTACCTTTTGTAGCAGCTCCGGTCAGCTCCCTTCTCCTCCTTTCCCTTCCGCTCACAGTCTAAGTATCGCCAGACCCGCGGCCATAAGAGGGTTGCCACGGTTTACCGTGGCAATGCTCCACGCAGCACGCAGACCACGAGACTTACACTGTGAGCGGAAGGGAACGGAGGTGAAGGGAGCTGACCGGAGCTGCTACAAAGGCAAGTAACAGCTTGCTCTGGCCCTCTCCCCCCCCCCCCTGCACAGTACACACCACTGGCCAGGCAACATGCAGGGAGGGGGGACAAAAAAAATAAACAATTACATTTTATAATATTAAAATAAAAATAATATTACACTAAAAAAATGCTGGGACTAATGTTATAATCTGAAATTCAGAGCATTACATTTTAGTTTTATTATTGACTCGTTATGTTCTTACCTCCGTTCTCCCATAATGCACGACCTCCATGAGTACCTACCAGTTAAGTCTCACTTCTAAGCAAACCCACAATGGCTGTGCCCACCTATAATACGACCCTCCCCCCCCCCGCCCCTCCACCTCCCTTTCCCCAGGGTAATGGGGCCTTGAAGCAAGCCGGTCAGCTACTGCAATAGATTAATATTCCTACAGCTCGCCCACCGGTACAAGCCGAAATGGAACACCAGATCTGACTAGTTTAATGCACCCTACCACTCCTATGACTACCTTAGCAAGTGCCAGCCTGGAGTTGTTCCTATATCTCCTGTACCCTTATCTATAAATAAGGTGTATTATATCCATAGTATCATAGATTCATAGTGTCTTGTATCACATATCCATGTCTTTGCCACACATGTGCATTACTTGAATTATGCAATGGACCTCAATAAAAAATAGAATACAAAAAATAATATTAAAATATAAAATAATAAAAATGCCCTCCCCCACCCAGTTTACACACATTACACAAAACACACACACACACTGCATTATATACACACTCCATTCATACAAACACACACTGCATTTATTATATACATGCACTGCATTCATTATATACACACTCTGCATTATATACACACACACTCATACAAACACACACTCTGCATTCATACAAAGACACTGCATTCATTATATACACGCACTGCATGCATACATACACACTCTGCATTATATACACACACAGCATTATATACACACACACTCATACAAACACACTGCATCCATTATAGTCACACACAGTGCATTCACACAAACACACATTTTGCATTCATTATACACACACACTACACAAACACACACGCATTCTGCATTCATTATATACACACACACACACACTCTGCATTCATTATATACACACACTGCACACACACACTACACAAACACACACACATTCTGCATTCATTTTATATACACACACACACACACACATTCTGCATTCATTATGTACACACACTACACAAACACAAACACACACACTCATTCTGCATTCATTATATACACACACTGTAAATAAATATTCAATAAATGTAATTTTATTGGGATCTAATTTTATTTAGAAATTTACTGGTAGCTACTGCATTTCCCACCCTAGGCTTATACTCGAGTCAATAAGTTTTCCCAATTTTTTTGTGGTAAAATTAGGTGCCTCGGCTTATATTCGGGTCGACTTATACTCAAAGATATACGGTAAGTAAATTATGACATTTTGAATTTAAAGTCAAAATAACTTGATTGCAAAATAAAATTCTCATAAAAGGTTATTTACAAAAGAGAAAATTGTGGGGAATTAAGTGAATTTCAAATAGAATTCCAAAGTAGTCGTAATGGAAGCATAGTTGACATCGATATTTTTTCCAGTTTAGCTGCTTTGGTCTTAAATTACAATTTACTTTGAATTCCTGACCATTTATAAAAAAAATTGTATTTTCTATTTTATCTCCACACAGCTCAGCATGAAGTCCCTCTCCCGGTGTCCGGCCTTTTATATCAGTCTGTCCGTCTGTTTAGAGATTTCAATTTGACAGTTCTTGTAGAAGATGTCTCGTGGGACTTGGAAATGACCAATGGAAAAGAAATTGAAATCGCAAACTTTTCAAACTCACAGTTTAAGGTCTCTAATAAAAGTTGGTTTAATAACCGCCTCGAACCATCTAATAACATGACTGGATTAACCATCCGAGACCTGAGAACAGAGGACAGCGGTATATACACCGTGACAATAATTCTTACAAATGGAGTAACCCATCGCGCATTATTTAATCTCACTGTATACGGTGCGTATTCACATCACAGCAGAATCCGTTTTATTCACTGATTCCGTTCATTCAGATAATTAAACATGAACATGCTGAGCATGATGAAGCTGATTTTTAAAAGGTTTTCAAAGCAAGAGCCACTCTTACGTGTTTGTCTGACAACTCTAAAGGCGTGATTTTGGACAAACATTATTTCTCAGAAATTGCAATGTTCAGTGTCTAAATACGGTATTTTTTGCACTGTAACATGCACTTTTTTCCTCCTCAAAAGTGAGGGGAAATGTCTGTGTGTCTTATGGAGCGAATGTGCCACTCTCTCCGCCCCCCATGGTCGCCGGTAGGTCTCCTACCTTTATGTAGCGTGGCCGAGTGGAGCAGTGCACTGTGCTCACTTCCTTTCAGTCCGGCCGGGTACGGGAAACTGAATCTCCTGTACCGCGGTGCGCACTGCTCTGCTCGACCACGCTACACAAAGATAGGAGATCTACTGGGGACCAAGGGGGTAGAGAGAGGGGCACCCGACAATAATGGAGAATTTAACACTACAGTGTGTGACTGTTTGTCATTGTTTGGGAGCAAAATTTCTGGTTTAAAAAAATGAATCAAGAATCATCATACAGGGCCACCATTAGCATTTGCAGGAATTAGCTAAATTTACAGAGCTGCCCAACAACCCATCATATGTTAAGTTATAATTAGAGTTGAGCGGACACCTGGATGTTCGTGTCCGGCTGGTTCAGCCGAACTTTGAAAAAAAGTCCAGGTTCGGGCTCGAACTTGACCCCGAACTTTTGGCCACAAAAATGCCTCAAAAAAAACTCCTGGAAAGGGCTAGAGAGCTGCAACAGGAAGTAAAATGGGGGTAAGAGTAGGACAAGTGCCCTGCAAACAAATGTGGATAGGGAAATCACTTAAAATAACAGGAAAAATTAAAAATATAGCTGAGCCATAAAATAGCACTAGATGGAATTTTTGATTTTAGCTTTGGAAGAACATAAAGCAGAATCTAAAGCATGGCTGTCAGGATGATCACCAGAATTATCCATTTGAGAGATTGTTGGAGGGCAGGGTATTCTCTTTCATTGTTCAAACTGAGCTCAACTCCTGATGCATGGAGAAAAGGCCTTCACAAGCCTCTGCTATTGTGTACATAGTTTATACTAAATGACCCATAGGTTGAGGAGGCGGTGACCGTGGCGGTGGAAATAGTGGTGGAGGAGGTGGTAGCCAACACTGGGTTATTTTTGTTTTTGTTTTGTTTTTTAATTGGGGTAGCCCCCAAACTATTGGGACATATAAAAAAAGAAAACAAAGAATAAGTGCACTTGAGTATAACAATGGCTGGGTGAGGCCGGTATAAATGTCTATTCTGCACAAGGTACAAACAAGTCTGGTGGGATCCATGCCTGGTTCATTTTAATAAACGTAAGCTTTTCCACGTTGGCTGTGGACAGGCGGCTGCGCTTGTCTGTGATAACGCCCCCTGCCATGCTAAACACACGTTCAGACAAAACACTGGCTTCAGGGCAGGCCAGCACCTCCAAGGCATAAAGGGCAAGCTCAGGCCATGTGCCCAATTTGGAGATCCAGAAGTTGAATGGGGCAGACCCATCAGTCAGTACGTGTAGGCGTGTGCACACGTACTGTTCCACCATGTTGCTGAAATGCTGCCTCCTGCTAAGATGTTCCATATAAGATGGTGGTGCTGGTTGTTGGGGCGTGCTGACAAAGCTTTTCCACATTTCGACCATGCTAGCCCTGCCTTCTGAGGTGCTGGCAGTGTCCCAGCTGCATCAGTTGGGAATGCCCTCAGCAGCACGTTTATCAGCGTGAGCTTGTAGTCGCGCATCTTCCGATCACACTCCAGTGAGGGAATTAAGGACGGCACGTTGTCCTTGTAATGGGGATCCAGCAGTGTGGTCACCCAGTAATCAGCACAAGTTAGAATGTGGGCAACTCGGCAGTCATTGCGCAGGCACTGCAGCATGTAGACGCTCATATGTGGAAGGCTGCACCAGAGGCAAGGACAAGCTGTCCTCTGTGGGAGGTGTATCGCCTGTGTCCTCCGTGTCATTCCAGCCACGCTCCAGTGATGCCCACGAGCTGTGTTGGGTGCTTCATCATCCTCCTCCTCATCTTCCAGAACTGTGCCCTGGCTGGACAATTGTGTACCTGGCCTAAGCTGGTGCAGGAACCCACTCTCCAAGCCACTTGTGAATGACTGGCCTGATAACCGTGGAAATGACCCCTCCTCCTCTTCCTCCTGTGCCACATCCTCTTTCATCATCCGCAGTGTTTTTTCAAGGATACATAGAAAATGGGATAGGAAGGCTGAGAACGGCGTCATCGGCACTGGCCATGTTGGTGGTGTACTCGAAACAGTGCAAAATGGCACACAGGTCTCGCATGGAGGCCCACTCATTGGTGGTGAAGTGGTGCTGTTCCGCAGAGTGACTGACCCGTGCGTGCTGCATCTGAAACTCCACTATCGCCTGCTGCTGCTCACACAGTCTCTCCAGCATGTGCAAGGTGGAGTTCCACCTTGTGGGCACGTCGCATATGAGGCGGTGAGCAGGAAGAACGAAGTTACACTGCAGCACAGACAGGTGAGCAGCAGCAGGGTGAGAACGTTGAAAGCACGCACAGACGGCCCGCACTTTCTGCAGCAGCTCTGATATATCTGAGTAGTTTTTCATGAGTTTCTGCACCACCAAATTCAACACATGCACCAGGCAAGTTATGTGCGGCAAACTGGCTAGGCCCAGAGCTGCTATGAGATTTTGCTCATTATCGCACACCACCGGGCAACAACCACTCATCTCTGTTCTTCCATGCCCGTACACAGCTCCTGCGCATTTAGTGGTGAAGGTGTTACGCTGCCTGGATGAGATGGTGGTAGAGGAGGAGGAAGTTGAGTAGGAGGAGGCGACAGGAGGCAAAGAAAAAATGCCCCTCGGTGGCGGAAGGACCTGCACCAAACTGCTATCCGCATCAGGCCCAGCCACCACTACATTTGCCCAGTGTGCAGTTAGGGAGATATAGCGACCCTGCCTGTGCTTACTGGTCCACGTGGTGGACTGTGGTTATGTGGACCTTGCCACTGATGGAGTTGCACAGTGCACACCTGATTTTGTTGGTTGTGCAGGGAAGGGATGGCTCGCCTGGAAAAGTAGTGGCGGCCGGGAACCATATACTGTAGGACAGCGCCGCCATCAGGTTTTTAAAACTGTCCGTCTCCACCAGACAGAATGACAGCATTTCAAAGGCCACGAATTTTGAAATGCTGGCATTCAGGACCAGGGATCGCAGGTGGGTAGGGGCGTACTTCCTCTTTCTCTTCACTGTTTGGGAGATGGACAGCTGAACGCTTCCATGGGACAGTGTGGAGATGCTTGGGGACGGTGGCGGACGTGGTGGTGTTGCTGCCACATCCTCTGTTTTCTGGGTGGCAGGTGCCACTGTCACTACAGAGGTGGAGGAAGAGGCCGAGACAGCGGCAGAAGAGGAAGAAGGAGGAGCCTGAGACCTTTCTTGGTTTTTGATGTGCTTACTCCACTGCAGCTCGTGCTTTGCATGTAGATGCCTGGTCATGCAGGTTGTGCTCAGGTTTAGCACGTTTATGCCTCGCTTCGGGCTCTGATTGCACAGCGTGCAAACCACTCGTGTCTTGTCGTCAGCACATTATCTGAAAAACTGCCACGCCAGGGAACTCCTTGGAGCTGGCTTTGGTGTGCTCTGTCCCTGGGTGCGGTGGGCAGTAACAGGCGTACCGTCTAGGGGACGGCCGCTCTGCTTTTGCACCTTGCTCCCTCTTATGATGTGCTGGTGCCTCTGTGCAACCACCGCCTCTTCCTCCAAACTTCATAGGTCACTCTCATGGTCTTCATTCCATATGGGGTCTAGGACCTCATCATCCTCCACATCATCTTCCACCCACTCCTCAACCCTGCCCTGCTTGCCAGTCTGCACACTGCCGAAAGCCACAGCAGTTGGCACCTATGTTTCATCATCAGAGACGTGCTGCGGTGGTTCTTGCATGTCCACATCCTCACACATAAGTGGTTGTGCATCAGTGCACTCAATCCCTTCCACTTCTGGGGCAGGGCTAGGTGGATGGCCCATGGAAATCCCACCAGCAGAGTCATCAAAAAGCATAAGAGACTCCTGCATGACTTGTGGCTCAGACTGCTTGGGTGATTTGCAAGGGGGTGAGGTGATAGACAGATGGCCATGGGCTGCAGGTGCCAACTCTGAGCTTTCAGCAGGGCACCAGGCGGAAGACAATGTGCAGGAACTGGAGGCACTGTCAGCCATCCAATATACTATCGCCTGTACTTGTTCTGGCCTCACCATTCGTGGAGCGGTATTCAGGCCCACCAAATAATGCTGAAGGTTCTGTCGCGTACTGGCACAGATCGACCATATCCTCTCCTTGCAACAGGAGCTCCACCAACACCAGCAGCACCACGACCAGGGCCACGTCCCTTATTTGACGCTCTCCTCATTCTTTGCGTTCACCCACCAAACTAACAGATGTTTTATGTCAGGCGACAATGTAACCGCCAACAGTCAACAATTTTTATTTTTTTTTTGTTTATTGCACTGCAAGAAAAGGCCGCAAATGTACTATTTAGCAGACAAAATTTGCGCAGTATTTGACGCTTCTATTTGACTCTCAGATATGAAGAGCAGGCCACAAAATGTAATGTTTAGCACCAAAACAATTAGAATGTTTTCCACTGCGCTGTAACCACAGTATTTGATGCTTCTATTTGACTCTCAGATATGAA